CCCCTAAACCCCAGTCCCCCTAAAAGTCCCCTTGTCCCCAGGTTAAACCCTAAAGGGTTGAGTAACATATGGAATAGAGAGACAAGTCAACATATGCCCCCATGTCCCCCCCTAAACCCGAGTCCCCCTAAATGTCCCCTTGTCCCCAGGTTAAACCCTAAAGGATTGAGTAACATATGGAATAGAGAGACAAGTCAACATATGCCCCCATGTCCCCCCCTAAACCCCAGTCCCCCTAAATGTCGTCCCCCTAAATGCCCCCTTGTCCCCAGGTTAAACCCTAAAAGATTGAGTAACATATGGAATAGAGAGACAAGTCAACATATGCGCCCATGCCCCCCCCAAACCCCAGTCCCCCTAAATGTCCCCTTGTCCCCAGGTTAAACCCTAAAGGGTTGAGTAACATATGGAATAGAGAGACAAGTCAACATATGCCCCCATGTCGCCCCCAAACCCCAGTCCCCCTAAAAGTCCCCTTGTCCCCAGGTTAAACCCCAAAGGGTTGAGTAACAAATTTTAATTATTGTTGTTTAGGGGCGAATGTGACGCCTTTTGGTTTAGGGGCGAATGTGACCCTCTTTTAGGGGCGAATGTGACCCCCGTCCCTTTCTTGAGGGGTCAACCAGGTTTTCGTTTTGGTGACTTGCGAAAATTGTTTTGCCAGTTGCTCTGCGGACACCACGCCAAAATTGTCCGAGGCCACCCAGGTTGCATTGCAAATTTCGCAGCAAAATTGTGTTGTCGGATACCTAATTGTTTTGTTCTTGTTGTCCACGCGGTAACAACCCATGCGTTGTTTACCTTGTCGCGCATTCGCGCCATAGGGTCACGCCAATCCTCACCTGGAGTGCGAAACCAACCCACCATTGATCGCAACATTTGTCTTTGTATAACGTCCAGGCGGGTCAGCTCGGATTGCGTCAATGGCATAGTGAAGAGGCCGAAAAGAAGCGTAGGGGAGATGACTGAATCAACAACCGCAAGCGCAGCTTGATGGAGATGTGTTTGTTTGTAAGGAGATGCCTGATTTGATTAAATTTGGCCCATGCAAATTGCACACGATGTTGGAAACCAATGCGCCCACGTTGCGACAAATCACCTGTGTACTTGCGATCCAAATATTTGTGCGCAGCATCGGAGGCCAATACATCCAATGTTTCACCATTGAATTGAGAAACTCAGCGAAAACTCACCGGGTCGCCATTTCCTGTACAAAACTGCATGCGCCAAATTGGCTGCCAACTTTTCGTTTGTGAACGTAAAGGCAGTGCGCGCAAGGCAAAAAACGTGTTTATTGGCAGAAAAATGGGTGACGGTGAACCAATGCCATTGGTGCTGTTAGGGATGCATAATGACCTTTCAAAACTTGATTTCGCTCTCAAAACTTGTTCTCGGCGGAATTCCAATGTTGGAGGCTAATTTCGGCACGATTGGTGATTGGTAGTTAATTTTTTGTGGCCAACAAACTTGCAATCACAAATGTCGTAATCACAAGGAAAGGGGTACGTTGCAAACACTACACTGTTGAACGGTGTAGGTTTCATGCATGTGCCTGTCTGGGAACCGCAACCTTAAGTGATTCCAACATTCTTTTGGACATTCAATTTAGGATTGCAGAGAGGCCCAACCTTCAACATGGGCATGTGTGATTGTGTCAGCGCCTCGTTTACTACCATTAATTTTTTCCGGACTTCAAATCAATTTTAGGGGTCCGCCGTTTTTACTTCAACTTGGAAACGATCTCGCCTAAGTGATTATTTGGGTGGTTTCTTGAGTACGGTTGAAACGGTCATTTCGCAATGAATCGGATGATCAGATGACAAGTTTCGAACGGTTTTTTTTTTACATATTTCTGATCAAATTTGTCGCTGCCGCCTTGCCTCCACATCTTGTCCCTCACCATGATTGCCACTTTTGGGTTGCTCTTTCCAGTTTCCAGTCGTGCCTCCTTTCGTGATTGTGGCTGTGGTGGGAACACGTGTTTTTTTTGGTCTCAAGGGTTTTTATTCGAGTCGCCTGGCGGCGAGAACCGCCCACACCCAAAGGGTAGGACGGAGAAAAAGCAGCGGGCCTAGCTGGCTTGGCTTTAGGTTTGGACCGAACATGAGCCCACTTGGGTCCAACTTGGGCGTAAGTAACTGGCTCCAACTTGGCCAACTTGAGCCCAAGTTGGGGTCCAATTTGGGCATGGCATGCGAAACTTGGTTGAGTGTGGGGGGATTGGTGCCGAAGTTGGGCCCAAGACAAGCCTTATGTGAGCAACATGTTGCACGAACCCTCATCAACACCACAAAAAAATGGAAGTCGCGGTAAAAATGTAAGGAGTCAGCGTGTTGCATTGAGTTCGCAAAATTGGCCCGGGTTGTCCCCCCAAAAGGGCCCAACTTAGCAACTACGTTCAAGCTGCTTTATTGTGGGCCCAACTGAACCCCGACGTAGGCTGAAGCTGGGCGTAAGGCGGCCCAAATGGAACCCAAAGTGAAGCCAAGTGATGCACATAGAAGTCAAATCACGTCCAAACTGGGGCACCTGGGAACCGTTTGGCGCCAGCTTCACGCCAACTTAGGCCAACAGAGGCACAACATGGGGAACATTGCGGCCAACGAAGCGTCATCGATAGCAAAAAAAACAGGGAAATACGAGTGAAAACGGGCGTTTTGATCGGCTATGTCCGTCGTTTTGAAGCCATGTGGGCCTCCACTTGGGCCGAAACTACTCTCAAACGGGTCCAAAATGGGGCCAAGTTGCGCCATCTTGGAACCAAGTTGGGTTGCAATTAAAGCGAAAGTTTAGGTTAGGCTAAAGTTGCGGCCTCGCTGGCCGAAAGTGACCCACAGTGGGGCCGATGTTGCACCATGTGGGGTCGAAATTGTCCATTTGGACGATTTTGGGCCGATCTGCAGAATGTACAAATTACCACAGTACCGTGCACTTTTTGGCGGTGTGCTCGGTTCGAAAATTTTTCTCCTAGTTGAAATTGTACAGAACCAGTCTGACAGATATATCCGTTAGCATCCCTCGCTGCTAAACTACCACGGCCGGATTTCGGAATGAACCGGTTGTTGTTTGTTGTTTCAACATTTCCTTTTAAATTTGTCACTGCTGCCTCGGCTTCATGATGGCTGCGCGGCCGTTTTGTCTCCAGGTTTTCGTGGCTATTGCCTGCGGGGCGTTGCCTGCTGCTAGTTCGGCTGTTCCTAAACATGCTATTTGGGCTCTATTCAGACGTAATAGGGGGCATAGAAGGTAATGGTGTGAGTATGATTATGAAACATTCTGGTGAAAAATAATAAAGGTAATAAAGGTCACACGGGGCAGCTATGGGGTAGCTTTGCGTGCAGCTGCTCGGTTACCACCCCACAAACCGCAGCCATGTCAGTTCAAAAGCAAGCAAACAGATCATGCGAACAAAATTGTTTTGAACCATTTTCCTCCAAACATGAGACGTTACCGTTCCTTTTCACTGTGAACGGCATCCAAACTGTATTCCATGCGGCATCGATTCTTGAAATTGAAACCGTATCGTTACAGTACATTCTTTTAACAACAAGGACCAACTGTCACAACGATTTGCATTTTTTGGGTGATGGTGCCACGAGGCACGATGAAGGCGGGAGTCACGCGATTCGCAGCGCGTTCGTTCCGGCCCTTTGTTGGGCCTTTGGGCACTGGCCAAGGTTCTATTGGCGGGTTCCGTTGGCATCGCCTTTGGGGTCTTAGTTTATTGCCTGCGAAAACGCCGCAAAAAACACCGGCCACGGGCTGATGTTACTGGATGTGTATTATTGTGTGGTGCCAATGGATGATTTGTCATTGATTGTTTGATGGTGATGTTACGTTCGAATCGATCGCTAAAGGTGACATGCGCGATTTCTGTGGACAAACATGCTTAGCTTTGTTGCATTGTGACAGCTAGAAAACTACCCGTGTGGTTCTCAGGAACTTGAGTCGGCTTCAGCACGGCGAAGTGAAAGTCGTGGCCGCAGATGTTGCAAGGCTTCGGGTTCGATGTGTATCGAAGTGAAATCAACGCGCAAACCATATGGGTTTGTCGGGAAATTTGCAATTCACGGCATTTTTTCAATGGGAAATTATGCATAACCAGTGGGTTGATAGGTACCTTATTTTGAGACACACCCATCGCTTTCTTGTTTTCATTGCATTTCACTTTTGGGTTAATTAAATTAACTGATAAGAATAAAGTGTATGATATTGTATGTAGTGAGACGTCTCTCCCAAGACCGACACTGTGCTAGTGAAATGGAGGGGGGTTTACTGAGTTGTGGGTAACATTGTGCCAAAGCAAAGCCCTCAACATATACGACATGATGAATTTCTAGCAGTTGTTACCCGCCTGTAAATTAGCACAGGTACGCGAAATCTGCTTATATTTTTTTGGTTGTAAAAAGGCAGTGCTGTTTCCATATTTTTTGGTATGCTTAGCTCAAGGTGAATGTGGGAAGGTGTTGTGGTGAACAGCTCCAATCGCGAATGTGGACCAAGCGATCACACAAGCCTACAGAACCACATGATGATCACATGATGTGGGAAACCCAATAATCGACCTATCTTTTGGGGATAAGTTTCACTTGTCCCATTTATGGTAATGTTGGGATTTATGTTTTATTCGGTTTGCCACATTCAAAAAAGGTGCAAGGGTCTTCCGCCATGCTAGCGAAACAATAGCTCAGTTTTCTTGCCAAACCTTCATGCAGGCTTGAGTAAGGCTTCCAAAATTTGCAAGATTAATCCCGTTAAGTCTTAACTCAATGTGGTTATGGGTCAAAATTACCTGCCCCCAAGACGCAAGATTTTTCAGATCCCAATAAATAATATTTCGACTGCGAACGCATGTTGTAAAGCTAAAAAATCCAAGGCAATACCTTACTACGCTTATTATACTGGTGAAAACCATTGTTTCGTGCAATCTTTTCCCGGACGATCGACCCATTGAGCTAAAAACATCATTTTTTTCCGCCACTTCTCCGTTTTTTTTCGCCATGCTTCCACTGGCGCCGCTTTCGCTGGACCTTGGCGGGGTGCGTCCAGCCCTCGGGGCCCTCGGTCGCGGGAATCTTCCGCGGGTCGAAGTTCGAAAGGACGGGGCTGGAGATCCTAGTCCTCAACCCACCCCAGAATAGACAGGGCCCAACACAGATGGGAGGTAAATTGGGTGAAGACGGAAGTCAAATCACCAATTTACATCAGTTTGCCACGTGTGTCTATGGTTTAAGTAATTAGTAGGCCGGAGCTGCTAAATGGATAGCATGTGGTAATCAATGATTTTTCAATGGGAAATGAAGGTTTGCAATGATTTTCATGGGATTCTATACTGGGCAGATTTTCCAGCAAACCATGTTTGATAGCCGCCAGAGGGTGTAATGTGGTGAATCCATTGAGAAACCCCCAATATTCCCATCAATGGGTGGGTTTACCAAAGTTGCTTGAGAGCTCAAACAACCAAAATGGTGTCAATATTCATGTGATATTACAAAAACGAGGTAAGCACATTCGCATATATCTGATACATATGCATATATTATCATATATTTAGTGTTTAAGACAGACTGGGGAAGGGACGACCTGTGTCAAAAAGCATGATATCCAGCGAATGAGGATTGATGCAGTTTTAGGCTAGTCATTCACTCCAGCTCAGAAAATGACAGGTGCGGTGCAATGTATAGTGTGAGATTGAGGTCCAACGCGGGCAACTGAAGTTGTATAAGTGTAGTCCGTCCACGATTTCCGACATCACTGTTCTCTTTTAACTCATTATCCTTTTGCTCATAATCCGCAGACGCCCAGTTTTAGAATTTGTGGCGTCCAGTAATCTCGTTTTCATGGTTCGGGAATCTAAATCCCGCAGGCACCCAGTTTTAGAATTAGTGGCGTCCAGAAATTTCATTTTCATTGTCAGGGACCATAGATCCCGCAGACACCCAGTTTTAGAATTAGTTGTGTCCAGAAATCTCATTTTCATGGTCCGGGAATCTAAATCCCGCAGACACCTAGTTTTAGGATTAGTGACGTCCAGAAATCTCATTTTCATGGTTCGGGAATCTAAATCGCGCAGGCATCCAGTTTTAGAATTAGTGGCGCCCAGAAAAATCATGTTCATGGTCAGGGACCCTAGATCCCGCAGACACCCAGTTTTAGAATTAGTTGTGTCCAGTAATCTCATTTTAATGGTTGCCAATGCCGGCCCTGCCAGGTGGAAAACCAAAGTTGCAGAAACGCCGCAACCCACACAACCTCACGTATAGATGAATGGCAATTTAAGAACATGGCAATCCTATCCCAGGGTCCCTCAAGTTAGAGGGTTCCTCAAATTCTAAATTATGTCCTTGGTAAAACTGAAAATATGCAGCCCGCATTGGATCGGAGACCGTCAAATTCTTATCCCGTGCCTTTTTATACAATGCTTAAGCTGTACTTGGCGTCTTGAATATTTTTGCACTTTTTGGATTTTGCGGACGCTGTGTGGAGGCACCATAAAATGGGATTTTAGGAAATGTTGGTAAAAGGCCTCTTCGATATCACGTTCGAATATTTCTTGATATTTCACATAGGCATCTTGGACATCCCTTGGGCTTGGAATCCGGCTAAATTTTCAATATTTTGCTCAATTTTTTCCACCTTCAACTTATCAATTTGCATCTTACTGTACATAGTTTCCGATGCTTTGGGAAATTTGACCCGGAAGTGCTTGCCAGGACGCTTCGGTCCGTGGCAACATTTTGACTGCGGCTCGCGTGGCGTGCCTGGCCTGCGTGGCTGTTGTGGGGTGCTGGCGGAGAGAACCTGGAAGAAGCACCAGACGAGCTCAGATCATCGATGCTAGGTCATAGTTTTATTGCCCGTTACCAGCAGCTGGAGTGCACTAGGGAGGCCTGATAGTACAAAGGTGATGATCCTGGGGGTGGCAAGGGGGAGTGTCCAAGTCAATTCCAGGTGAATGTCATCTCTAGTCATGATGTCGATTTATTGTCCAACATTGAGCAGAAACTGCACGATCTCAATGTCAAAATGGAGATGTTCAGCCACCCGACACGGACCAAGACTGCGGGTGTCACGATGGGGATACTGACAAACATAAACACAAAAGGGGTAGAACGGGTAGAACCAGCCAGCACTGGGGATATAGCTGAAAATGAATAGGGTGACGACTCACTGCATATCTGGAGAGTTATGACATTATGATACATTATGTTTAATTTGTATTTCCTGACGACTTTCTTGACTATGGATTGAATTAGGTTTTGGACGTCTATGACGCATTGATTCCAACATACCAGCAATCAACCATCACCCAGGATGGAAAGAGCATTGCTTCTCAAGTGCGGGAGGTTCGCATGGCCAGCAACTGCACAGGGTTTCCTTGTGCTGTCACAATCATTTCTCCCTCCCACTTCTCTGGTCAGATCCGGATCGTTATGCAAAGTTTTAGTCTCCCTTCCATCAACCACACTCAACGCTTAAACTGACTTTTTGTGTTGTTTTGGGTTGCTCTTTTTTCATCCTGGGGGTTGCCCTCTAGTGAGAGTCCTTTTCACAGTGGGCTTCTGGCATTCCAAACCACCGGGCCGCAAACCAGCAGTTCATCAGCTGTTTCCAGGAGGTCAAGGAGCGTGTCCATGCCTTCAAGCAGCAGCACGACGTAACGCCATGCCTCGCGGTGGTCTTGGTGGGTCAGCGGCCGGACTCCCAGTCCTACGTCCGAGCCAAGGCCAAAGTGGCGAACGAGGTGGGCTGTCGCATCGTCAACGTGGACTTCCCCGACAGCGTGTCCGAAGCGGAGCTGCTGCGCAAGATCTCTGAGCTGAACGCGGAGCCTTCGGTGCACGGGATCTTGGTGCAGTTGCCGCTTCCCGAAGGCATCAATGAACAGCGGGTCACGGATGCCATCGCGGTGCACAAAGATGCAGATGGCTTGACTGCACTGAATCTGGGGCAGCTGTCGCGACCTACTGGGATGCCCTTGGCAATTCCGTGCACTCCAAATGGATGTATGGAGTTATTGAAGAGACATGATGTGGATGTCTCTGGGAAGGAGTGTGTAATTCTGGGCCGATCGGCCATTGTTGGGATGCCCATGGCACTGTTGATGGTGCGTGCCAATGCTAGCGTGAAAGTCTGCCACCGTTATACCCGAGACTTGAGAATGGCCTGTTCTCAAGCTGATGTGTTGGTGGCAGCTGTGGGGCAGCCTGAGTTCGTCCAGGGCGACTGGATAAAGGATGGAGCTGTCACTGGATGGTGCAACATAGTTTTTCTTCTTTGATTTCCCGCCCAGAACCTTTTGCAGATGGTTTCGTGTAGCTTCTCCCTCTGAAACCTATGAAAAAATGGGCCCCTGTGTAGACTTCAGCATCTTCAGCCTGGGTCTCCATAGCCACCTGCAGGTGGTCATTGACGTTGGCATCAACCGAGTGGAAGACAGCAGCCGCAAGCGCGGGTATCGCCTCGCAGGAGACGTGCACTTTGAGAAAGCCAAGGAAAGGGCCTCGTTGATCACGCCGGTGCCCGGAGGCCTTGCTGAAAATCAGGGATTTACCATGGATTTACCATGGATTCACCTGAAATGTATGATGGCAAGAACATTAAGGGATCATTTGGGATAATGATGACCCATCAATGGATTCAAAAAGTGCCCCATGTTCAGAAAATGTGCCAATGGATCCACCTTCAAATTTCAGCTACGAAATGGGGAGGACTTGGGCTACAGTACAGATTGCCCGCCAGGATTTTTTTTGTACAAACAGGAGGGGTTGTGCCTGAAACATCCAACATAAAATCTCATTTGCATTTTGTAGCTACAGAATGCCATCTAACAAACTGCACGGGGTCAACACTTGATCCAATTCAATCATTGACAACTACAAAATGTTCTCCGAATTTATGTTGGTCGGAACTTTGGATGGCAAAGACCCAACTACAAAATGTCATTGGGAAAAATCATGTTAGCAATTCCGACGTTCAGCTATTTTTTAACTTCAGATGCATTGGATTTTGTAGTACTGGTTTTGAATTATTTTCCGAGACAGAAAGAGTTATGTTCTTCATTTTGTAGCTGCAAAAAAAGTAACATGCACTGCATTTTGTAGTTGTGCACCCTATGCATTCCGCTTTGTATCTACCAAAACCATCTGCACAACTCCTCCCCCCTTATCTGAACCCTGATGCCAATGGTATTTTTTGGATTATGTGCCTGGACCTCGCCTTGATTGCAGAATCAAAACCAAAGTCAAAGCTTGGTACTAGTGTCCCAAAAACGGGATGGCTTACTAGCTTACTCGAGCAACTCAACTTTGATATTTGCACCAAATGTTGCGCTGTACCTACCTACCACCGGTTCCATAGCTTTCGACACCTCGACACCTCGACAGCAGGTGTGGGTCCCATGACCGTGGCGATGCTGCTGAAGAATACCATCACCTTGGCCGAAAGAAGCGTTGAGCGTGTGTGAGCCGGCATCAAAAAGAGCTTGACCGGGGAAACGATGAAATGGATATGGGTCAAACTTGCTAGGGCAAAGCCAATTTGACAAATCATGTGTTTTTTTTCTTAAACTTATTTTTCTCTTGATTTTTGTCATACCCAAAAATACCCAAGAACTTTTGGGTCAGCGGTCAGCATTGAACTTGCCGCATTAGCTTTTGTATAGTTTGATGCTGACATAGACAAAAACGATCAAAACTCGTGGGGCCTGTGGGCAGACATTTTGACCCGTGCTGAACTAGGACTGAATCCACTTCGGCATTGAAGTTCGATTTAGGGCCTGTGTGGGTAGCTGATGGAAACGTCAACATTTAGGCTACCTACCCCGTCAAAAACCGAAATTGGAAGATGATTTTTTTAATTGGATATGGCATACTGGGTTTTTATCAGGTTTCTGGTGTGAAGAGTCGAAGAGTTCTTACTTGTCGTTGCCTTTGGCAGGTTTGAGGAAGCTTCGGCCTGGGTTCCGGGCTCAAGCGCAGCTGCACGAAAGGTAAGAAAATTAGATTGCACACCCTTCAACGAACTTGACACAGGAAGTGATCAAAGCCTCGGGGATGAACGTCCATAAATCCCAGCTATTTTGGTGTGAACTGCCGGGTGCCAGGGTTTTGATGTTTTGACACACCCCCATGAGGTGAACAAGAATGGCGGAGATTTGTCCACCTCAGCCCTTCTGGAGCTGTATGCCTTCTACAAGCAAGCGACTTGCGGTCCGAGCCCGAGCCACTTAACATATCTTAACATGCTGCAAAGCAATGCAAAGCTGTAAAAAAGGGACTGACCGCAGAAACACTACGAAGCAGCCGAGAGCAATGTTCAAAGCCAACTAGAAAAGTAGAAATTGCGGATTTTCCTTGGCCATGCTGAGAAACCTTCAAAACAAACATGACATTTGAAAGGCCACGGAAAGGCCGTGGGGTGAGGTGATTGCGGCGGGAGCCAACCCATGGGCTTCCAAGCTGCAGCCAAGTGGGATGCCTGGAGCCAGCTTGCAGGTGCCATCAATTCCATCCATTTTTCTCCAACTTTCTCCTCCTTTTTTATACTTTTTTGATTTCTTTTGCCAGGATGCCCTCCCGACTTGGCACGGGCATCGTACGTTGGCAGCTCAGAAAATGAAAGCCTAGTTGGAAGCCTTGATAGTGAGATGGGTATGCGTGAAATCTCGAGGTTTGAGTTATCCACCAAGGCAAACAGCAAGAGGTCAGTCTTTTCAGAACCTGGTGATGGTGAGGTGCAAGTCTTGGAGACTTATGTGCCCAACTGGCAGTTCGGAGGCAGGGATGGGATGGTGTGAAATTACCTCCACTCGAAATGGGAGCATTCCACCTGGTGTTTCACTGTGATTTTCTTGCCCTACTGCAGGGGTTTGTGTGCCAGAGCTTTTGCAGTCGCATCAGGAATATCTGGAACCGCGCTGCAGGACGTGTGGAAGAAAGACAGAGCCGAGGAAGTGGTGGAGGTGATGTGTGCCAGACTCAGACTTCGCAGACTTGGCAACTGCTGCTGCCGCTGCTGGGGTGATAACTAACCAAGGTCCATGGGTCCTGCGGTGAGCACCATGGGCTGCATTGGCGTGGGCCTTGGTCTGCCAGTGTAGGTGGCTTGGGACAGGACCACTGCTTGCGACACCTCCTTGGATGGCATTTGGCAATGGTCCTGCATGCAAAAAACTCCGAATCTTTCTTTTCACAAAGCTGTGGTCATGGAAATGGGGCTTGGGACTGGGAGATACTTTATTCAGGGGTTGGTAAATGTCCTAATTGAACATCACCCAACTAGGGATGTCATCTCCAACAAATACTCGAAAGTTATGTTGCAAATCCCCAAAGGGGACATAATTGTGAGGTCGCTGGGTCCACTTGAGGAGTTTGAATGGGTTATCATATGGCCCTATAACTGGTCTCTCTTGCAGGTGGTGGTGATCCGGGCGATGTCGTTGGGGGCTCAAGATGCCAAGTTTTCCCGGCAGAGCACCTGAAAGATCCTGGTTGTTGATGCTTGTTGATTCAATCTGGCACGGTGAAGTTCAAAGTTTGCAACTCTTCATAGCTAAACTTAACTAAACTACTGTATATAGATATATAAAACACGATAAAACATGATAAAACCCGCGTGAAAACATATGTGTTTTCCCTCCACCGAAATTTCGCCACAGACAGCCCAGGATGAGACTCCAGCGGGTCAGCTTTGCCAACAGATTGCCGAAGGCGATGTCGAGGCATCAGCATTGCCACGCTGTGAAAATGTGTGATTTTTATGGGTGATTTTTATGGCAATTTTAAGGTTTAAGGGCTACTTAATGGGGATATGGTGGGTGACTAACCCTCTGGTAATTTCACATAGCTATGGCTAATAGCCATTGTAACACTGGGCAATATATTGTCATATACGGGCCAATTTCCATAGCTTGTTAAATTATGTACTGTATTTTACTGTACTTTTTTTTTTTTGTGTGTGTGGGGGGATTGGCAGGAACGAAGATCAATGAAACAAGAGAGAAAAGTAGAATATACTTACCATCACAAGGGCGGATCTAAATGCAACTAATGCAGCCTTTGGGATGCACTTGAGTGTCCCCACGGGTCAACCAAAATTTGGATCAAGCTTGGCCAAACCGCCAGGGGGCATGTGGCTTGCTGCGCGCAAGCCCGCAGCTGGCTGGTCAGGCTTCCGATGCTTCCATGAGCCCAAGTCTGTAGTGGTAGAGATGGATGTCCCCAATATCAAAAAAGTCAAAGAAGTGCTTTGTTATGCAATTATTAGTAATAGATGCCGTGCTAATTACCATAGAGATGCCCACAATAAGTCCTGGGAGTCATTAATTTGCAGCCATTTAGATTACCATTGATATACAATAAGTCCCAGAATAGATTACCATAAGTGGTAGATGTGCCATTGATGCCTGGACAGGCCGACAAAGATGGCATGCTGCCGCTCCACTGGGCTTGCGACAGAGGAGATCTGGACATGGTGCCTGGCAGATACACCGGGAGTGGATAGTGAGTAGGTAGAGATAGGTAGAGATATTGCTGGGTATGCGTATGTTGTCTGTATATTTGTGCACCGTATACTGTTTGCATCCAGAATCCAGACGTGAGGATACGTGCACATGTGAATATGAGTAGGTACTGTATGTGTGACTTGTTTGCAAGCAAACCGGGATCAACTTGTCTTCGGAATAAATCAAGCATGGGAGCAGGAAAGTTTAGTGAAGAAAGATGGCAAAGTCATCAACTACAACTAACAAGATTGACAAGGAACAGTTGAACATCAACATGAACACATATTCCCAGCAACATACACAACTGCATTCCCAAAAGGCAGCTTCCCTATCTGCCCTATCTCTGCGGCCAGAGGTGCAGTTCCTTTTGGCTCAGGGCCCAGTGGGACACGAGTCACATCCTGCCATTTCAGCCAATTTAAAGACCAGAACTTCACCAAATTGGCTGAAATCGCCTCGAATTTTCATGTTCATATCAGATCTATTTCTTGATTTTTACTGTCATCTGAAACTTCAATGGGTGCCATCCCATATTTGACCCCTATGGAAAGACTGGAATAGTTCAGGAGCGCCCGGCGCCCCGCCTCCAAGGAGCTTCCAGCTGCACTTGCCATGATCAACACGGCGGATGCGGCCGGTGATACGGCGCTCCCTGGACGGCAACAAAAAGTGGAGCTGGGGCAGCTGGGGAGCGTAGTCAACCCATCACGTCAAGCGTTGAGGCTTGACTAGATTGAATTCAAGGGTCCAATAGTTTGATCCTTACCCAAATGGAAGATCTGGCATCTCTGCCTGGTGATCCTTCACCAACTGGCCGCCCCCAGGTTGCACTACGCTGTGATGTCTGAGAATGAATCTGTGGCGCAGCTGCTGGTGTCCAAAGGCCAAATCGGGATTCGGAAAGCCTTCAACCTATTCATTACATGTCATGACCTTATTCATGAGAGATGTTCCCTGAGCTTTCCATACCAAACTGGGTGTAGATTCAAGATCAATGGTTCCATGGATTTCCAATAATTCGCTTCTGTCAACGGAGGGTATTGTTTTTTCATGTGCGGCGGGACCCTGCTCGCCACGGGTGCAGGGGCAGATGTGACTGCTACAAATGAGGCCTTGGATATGGCTTAGCTGAAGGGGACCCCTGGACATCAACAGCAACGGCATCAAAAATGGGGACTTTTCACTTCAGGAGTATTTGGTACAGTGGCAACCTCACATGCCTGATGTAGTTGGGACTTGGAAGGCTTGCTATTGGCCATTTTATTGATTTTGAGGCTCAAACAGTGAGCTTTGGAGTCTCGCGATGCAGAGCGAAAGCACGCAAAGGGCGATCACACACACACAAAGACACCAACAGACTGAAAGATGTTCTTCTTCACTTCATGTGAAATAATGAATCCATTTATCTACCTGCCTACCTAATCTATCAATCAATCAATCAATCTATCTATCTATCTATCTAGCTACCTACCTATCTATTCCTAATGACACTCACATATGTACATGCAGTAAATGCATACATGTTACATATGCACACGTATATGCACACACACACAGGCACACACGCACACACACACATATACATATATATATATATATGTGTATATATTTATGCATATGCAGAGTACTGAGCCTTGAAAATGCCAGATCTATGTTGCAAGCACGTCATCGATGGATTTCTTTTCCTGGCACCTTCCTTTGTTTGAGTCACACGCATCTCACCTGCAATGCAAGCACAGCGTCCTCGCCATGCCGTTGGTAGCAGTGGCTACCCTTGAATGCCACTGGCCACAGTGGTGCTTCAACGCGAAAAAACATGGCTCCCTGCAGTCACTGCATGGCAGTTCCTTCAGTGAGATGGGAGGTGGAGATATTGTGAAGCAGATGAGCGACCAAACTGGTCAGCTGCTGGGAGGTCCACCCCGGAAGGATTTGAAAGATGAGAAGATCTTCAGTGATGAACAGTCTGAAGGGATGGAGAAGTTGCAGCAAATGGACCGGGACAAAGTGAAACGCATGGAAAAGAGGGAAGAAGAGCTGAAGGAAATGGTCGAAAAGGAGAAGAAAAGTGTGGAGGACTATGAAAGCAGAAAGAAAGAGCTTCAAGAAGAGGTGCTGCGTGACAACCTGGCGCTTTCACCGTCGCGAACACATTGGGTTGTGTTTCTCTCACTTTTCCTTACCCAATGAATCAGTGAATCAACGAATCAATGAATCAATTAACCAATGAATCAATGAATCAGTGAATCAATGAATCAGTGAATGACCGAATTGAACGAATGAATAAATTGAAGGATGGGTGGATGGGTGGATGGATGGATGAACGAGCCACATTTCTTTGTGAGCTACTTCTTCACTGAGCGATCTCTTTGCTGAGGCACCTCTTCTCTCAGCTACTTCTTCTCTGAGCAGCCACTTACCTGGGCAATTCTGCTTTGACCATCTTTGACCTCAGCCAGCTCTTCTGTAGCTTCTGCAACCCAATTCTTCTCTTCGCGCAGCTGTTACAATGCATTTAGCAACCTCCAGCTGCAATCCTGCATAGCACAAGAGTAGCACTATGGTCAAGAACTGCCTGTCGCGCAGCCGTTGTAATGCGTTTAGCAACTTCCAGCTGCAATCACGCTTGCCAGGAGCGTCGCGACATCACTGATGCTTTCCCCGCGCGGCCGTGCCAATGCGTTTTTATCACAGCCAGTTGCAAACCCGCATAGCAGGAACGTCACACCAAATCCACCAACGTTCTCGCAGCGCTCACATAATGGGGACGATTCTGCCCTACTCCGGGAATGACTTTTTTTAAACACTTTTTATGTGAAATCCAGCTCTCGCTACAGTCCGGTGATTATTTTGCCAGCTTCATCTTCCAAAAGTGCTCCGTCCCCGTCCCCGTCAGTTTTTTACCATTTTGAAGTGCAAAGTCTCACTGCCGTCCTGTGCGCTTTTTGTCGACAACTTTTGCAGATCGAACCCTGGGACCATGGAAACAGACCCTCCTTCGGCCGTAACTCGGAAGTTTTCTAACTAAACTTCCTTTGATGAATAAAGAATCGTAGCACCATGGGGGCTGCACAATGGAGTTTCTCAGGTCGATTTCCATGCTGAGGCTTCGGGAAGCCTGAGAAACACTACGAGATTCCAGATATCAACTCCCATGGAATATAAATGAGCCAGATCCATTGGACATTTCCCCACAAAACGTGCCATGTTCCAACCAAAAAGATACATGGCCTCCCGGATAGTTCAAGATGTTTTGGATGTCAGTATTTTAAACAACGCTCAAAACAATCAATCTTCCAACTGCCCTTCATTCCTTGAACTTTCAGACTTTTCAGATTCTAACTTTTCAACTTTTCAACTTTTCAACTTTTCAACTTTTCCGAAATTCAAAAACACACCATTTCAACTTTTCGACTTTTTGAGTTTGAACATGCTGCATCAACGTTTTAAATTTTGCGAAAATTGAAAACGAACCGTGTCCGACTTTTCGACTTGTCGCATTCTTTCCGACTGAGACGATGCATCACATCATATCACATCTTTCCCCAAAAATGTTCGTCTCCAAAGGGATGATTGTTTTTTCCCCAGTATATTAGTTCATGATCCCATATAGTCCCCCCATTATCTTCAACCAGCCAGGGTCTTGATCACCCTGGAGTGTGTTTTGAGGTGGAAGGAATGGAAGACTCCCAACACCTACGTTTGGAGGGCGCTGCTGAAGGCCAAGGCCAAGGCGACTTGGAGGAGGATGTCGACCACGTGGAGGAGGAGGAGGTGCCAAAGGTGGAAAAACCGCCAGATCAACACGAAACTCTGATTAAGAATGGAGTAATTTAAGGGAGAAGATATTATGTCATCCCGACAACTATGGGTATATCTTGCTGCAAATGTTGATGCATTGATAACAATCGCAGAAATTCTATATGAAACACATTCAATTTCTACTTGGGAGGATGAATCCCAGCACGTGTTGTAGGCTGTCCATCCCGATTTGCGACGGGTTTCCATCGTGTTTGCGAAACTTCAAACAGTGGGCTGAGACCAAGGAATTTATGGCCCAGAGCCGGATCGTGGCACCTCCATACTTTGAATCTTGGCACTTGCGATGGTGTTCAGGTGGTGGCCTGCGTCTTTGGGGAAATCGTTCCGTGCTAGTGAATTGAGCCGTCTATGTTTTTAAAGAGGAAAACAGTTGGTAGATTTAGTGACCGCCCACCAGCGAGGATTGCGACGTTTGCTCAAAATAGGCTGCTGCTCGTCTCATGTAGGTGTCAAGTGGCCCACTGAAGGACAAGACCACATCTTACCTCGATTGTATAGAAACTGGTGCTTCCCCATTCTTGGCTACAAAGAACCGTTCAGGCGTTTGTGCTTTACACTTCAAAATTCATTTGTTTGATTTGTTGCGCACTTGATCCCCCAAACGGTTGCCTTACATTTTTCCCAGAACTTGTGTTGTCCAAGAAAAAAGGGCACTGCAAAATCCATGGTGTCCGAACCTCCTTTTTCCAATTTTTTTGCCATAACTTGAAGGGTCATGATGGTAAAACCCATGGTTTCCGGGTTCGATTTCCCCCCTTCACCCCTTTTTAACCACATTTAGAAAAGCCAGGTTCAAATCCTCCAAAATGGTCCAAAATGGTCCAAAAACCCCCAATGTTTCCGGGTTTTCCCCAGGATTTTATCCTCCGCTTTAGGAGCCCATCAAGCCAGAGGATGAGATCCCGGTGGCCGTGGCCACCAGCCAGGATCAATGGAGACGCCAGAGGATCGCCAAAGATCAGGTCCAAGTGGCTCAGGAGTCGGTGATGGATGTTGTCAATGGATGGTTAATGGTGAATGGATGTGTTAATGGTTAATTTTCAGTAGTTACTTAGACTTTCATGCTTGAAATATAGGTTTTACTGAAATTTCTATGATGTTAATAAGGATTTGAAATGGTTAATGATGAGTAATAACGGTTAAGGATGGTTAACTTGTGGTTAATGCCATTCCCCTAATATCAAACACAATGTAAATGGTCACAAATATCTGATTTCATCTCCCAACCATAGTATCTGATGGGTTTTTGATCTCAGGAGGATGGAATGACAAAAATCCCTTTTGCATGTTGACCTGTCCTGATTCAATGTATCGGAAATAACGTCTCCAGATGTTGGATGAAGCATTCTGACACTCTGGCTGGCTAGATCCCGAGTGGAACCTCTCATGGCTGGAAAAAAAACAAGACAAGTTCCTTTCTCTTTTCTTCAATATTTTTCTGAACCCTATTTCCTCCATTATTTTCTCCCCCAAAAAAGGGCCTTCCTGGGGTCTGATTTTGGCGCAGGATCAGATGCAGTTGGCGAAGGACGAACAGGTCTTGGCTGAAGGTCAAGATAAGCTGACGAATCTCAGGACCCCTGGGGTCGCTAAGGAGGAGTTATTGGCTGAGCAGGTGAGGGATCAGAAACGAATTGCCTTGGATCAAGAGCTCCTACTGCAGAGTCAGAAAAGGCTGGCAGAAGACATGGATAATGCGGTGGATGGCAAATTGAGATGGGAGCGACTGGAGGATTACAGATGCTTGGATTGAAAAATGATTGGGAACGACCATATTTTAAGAGTTGGCCAGATGAGTTGTGGTGCCCATTTTCCAACCTTCCAGGATGGTCAGTGTGTCGCCACAATTCAGTTGGCCACCCATTTTCACCGAGCCCAGGGAAGAAGCGCATCGAGCAATTTCAGGATATGGTGAATCAGAAGTTGGACCGGCTCTACAAAGAAGAGATTGACTTTGTGAAACGCAATCGGAAGGGCAAACTCAGGTGCAGCTTGACATGCCAAACGGGGTTAAAAAAGGAGGCCAAGAGTCGAACTGTTTAGCTGCTGATGAGGATGAAGAAGATGAAAAATTATGAAACTAGTTATTATGATGGTGGGTGGTTGATGAACCAGCCTGTGAACACTGCTGGCTTAATAACACTCAGAAGTACTTTACAGTGACATGATGCTGTGATTCCCTGGCTGGATCAATCTCTGACAGCGATACGGTATACAACCCCGCTGCATTTGTTGCCTATACGCTACCTGTTTTGCATTTGTTGGCTGCCGTGTTCCACATGAAACCCTGACAGCGACCTGGGATGATGACCCCACCAGTGACACCAGTGACCTTCATCAGGGGCGCTCCCATCGATGTGCCGCACTTTGGGCCCATTGGAGTGCGCATCGTTAGCGGTCAGAAGGCTCAGCTGGCCACCGGTGGAGAGGATGGCAGTGAGCTGCTCTCGGAGAAGGACTGGTGGAAGTGGTGGAAGAAGGGTTTTTTTCCAGGGAAAATCTACAAGAAACCCTGGCCTTGTCAGCATTCAGAGAGGGGGAGTCTCTTATCATCCGCAATTTCCCAGCTCCAATTATGGTGAGCACAAATTGGGGATTGAATTGGGGTATGCAAATGTTTTGGAAGATATTCTTTTTCAGCTGGGAAATCTGAGGTAAGAAGCGCTGTGGCACTAATGGTGGTATGCGCTACAGAACACGACGAAGAAGTGTTTGATTTTCGAGAACTTGAGCCGTTTGCATTTCAACAAATCACACAGCACATGAGACTCACTATCTGGAAGACTGGTCAGAAAAACGGGCTCCTTTCCATCAGGCCTTGATAAGGCTTTAACATCAAACCACTCCCTTCACCCATTTCCCAGGAAGCCCCGGAGGATGCGGCCGAAACGGAGGCCATGGAGGCCACTGCTGCCTCCGCTCCCGTGGTGCATAGTGCGTTGGGCGTTTCCGCGGTCGCGGTCGCGGCCGCCGCGACGGGGCCGTTGCGACGGTCTGCACCGCGGCGGCGTGGGGAGTTCTTCCCGGTGCTGTGATGGGCCCAGGGACAGATGGATCTCATCCCCCTGAGCAGACTATATCTATACCTAGAAAAAAATATATATCTATATCTATATATATATAATAAATATTATATATATATACATACTTTCATAAGATTGTGCAAGATATTTTGGTAAAACAAAATGACTTAGCTCAGAATTGAGCTGGGGTTGTATCCAACTGTCTCATCACCGGATCAGCATGGTGGGATCGCTTTCACCTGTTGGCCCTGCCAGTGCTCAAAGTAGCATGGAAAGGTGTGGCAAAATGGAGGAAAAAGGGGTGAGGAAGAACCAGATTTGCAAGTGACTTTGTCTGAAAATGGGTACCTCCATTTCCAACTGATCATCATTCTTTCCCCCATGAAAGCAGAAGTTTTGGGGTACAGGGTATGCCTGTGGTGGGATGGAGCTAGCCATGGCTAGCGAAGCGCCAGGCGGGTGAGACTCCGAGCCAGCTTGCAGAGGAGGGAGGTGATGGTGATGGGGTGGGCTCCTGGGATTCGTGGCCAGATGTGGCTAGGTATAGCTAGGTCTGACTGACATCACCGGGTTGCACCCTGAGAGGTCTCAGCCTGCGAGCTGATTAGTTTGGCACCGCGACTTTTGCAGTTTCACCCGGCTGTGGCTAAGAAATGTCGTGCCAAAGGAAGGTGGATGCCAGTGCTGAGCCATTGGAAAGTTGGATCAGTACTCGCAGAAAAGTGCTTTGCACTGCTGACATGATGACATGATTTTGCAGGAGATTCTATTCGGTTGCAGACAAATCAGGGTGCTGAACACTTTAGCGGGCTCAAAAAAGGAGTTCCAGTTCCAGGTGTTTTATATATATATACATTTGATACACAACTTGACCAACGAAGTGATGCTTGTCAAGCCAATTTCTGGCGAAATCATTAGGTACTTTTCACGTCGCTTCCGTCTCCGAAGCCCTAGTAGTATGGGACGTGTAAGGCAAGAACCTATCCGAAACCAATCATGGGACATATCTGAAGAGACAGAAGCCAGCAACATAAATTGACATAAATCATTGGCGGGCCTTCAAAGTACCATCCACTTTTGTTTGTTTCACCGAACGCAGAGCCTTTTGTGGTTCAAGATGCGGCTCACCCCTTCAGCATACTGAACCTACGTACGACGCGCTGCTCCCTGGCAGCTTGCGAAGGGATGGGAAGGTTGTGTATGGAAAGTCCCTGAAGGGGGGGGTTGGAAACAGGCAGGATTACGACCTGCAGGTGCCTGTGGGTTGTTGTTTGGTGTCGGTTCCAGGTTCACTCCAAAATTGTTGCTTCTGCAGACATTTGGATGGGACACTGCAGGGACTTGTTTTGTGAGATGCGGAAAGCAAGGCACTCCCTGATACACCAATAGCTCCGCCATGCTACCCAGACTTCCGAAATAGCTAAGGCTTCATGCAGCCGGTGCTGGCAGGCGGGGAAGTATTGGTTTATCCCAGACTCAACAAGGGACCAGTCCTGTAGATGGTGGGGTTCTATGCATTTCCATCTCCGTGAGTGCAGGATTTCCACCCCTTTGTTATGGTTCCTGCAGTTTAAGTGTTTACCTGCATGGCCCCGTCAGGTTGTTTGGTGGGTTCAACTTTGGCACTGCCCGGAAGACCCACCATCACTGCCACCATCGCATCCTCCAGGGGTGTCGCTGGGCCAAACTGGGGCAGTGGATGGCTTGGGTGAAGAACCACGCAAAGTTTCTTACCAAACATACATGGGGGTAGATGGGTTGTAACTCATGAGATGCCCCTAAACACCTCGTTCATTTCTGGGGATCCACCAGTCACCAAAAGATGGCCTTCTGCCTTGTGCCTGCTTCTGCACCAAGGAAGTGACCTTTGAACCAAGGTGCCTGGTCTGAGGGTTCCGATATCATGCGGATCCTAACCTACTGGGAAGGCTGTTCGATTTGGGTTGTCGGTAACAATTTGGAAGACCAGTTGAGGGCTACAGGAAGTTATCCCAAAAGCTCACCGTGGCTGGTACACCAAATCCAGCCTGGATGGAAGGGGGGAAGTTTGGCAGCATGTGGCAACCAGCTTCATGCCCAGCGTTCAACAAATGCAACCAACACCTGCCAGTCCCTGGTACCTCTTGTTGGTTCGTGGCACTTGGCCAGTGCCAACTCTATCCCTAAACCTTCGCCCATCCATTGGTCCATATGGACCTAGATGAAACCATAGGTCTACTTCGACAACATCTGGCCATTACCAGATGGGATCGGCATGCTGCACAGCCGGCTCAAGCACAGGGAAAAACCTTCTCAGAAGGGAAAAAAACCCTGCCGTCCGGAATCGGCAAAACAGAAAGGCAAAACCCGCAACAAGGACGGGGGGAAGAGCTGGACCCCTCAGGGGACGACTGCCCACAAATTGTGTAAGAAAAAGGTGTCATAGCCCACTCACTGACCAGCATATGGTTTTATGGGGTAAGGGCCTCGCTTCGGAACGCGTCTTCCGGCATCGCTTCGGAACGCGCTCTCATGCATCGCTTTCGAACGCGCCTCCTCACCATCATCATCATCATCATCATCATCATCATCATCACCATCACTTGCAAGAAGTTATATCTGTTCAGAAGGTGCCGTAGCTCTTCTTACATCAAGTGCAACAAGATATAAACCCTAAAGGTGTCGTGGCTCTTCTTACATCTAGTGCAACAAGATATAAGCCCTAAAGGTGCCGTGGCTCTTCTTACATCAAGTGTAACAAGAGATAAACCCTAAAGGTGTCGTGGCACTCCTTACATCAAGTAGAACAAGATATAAACCCTAAAGGTGTGGTGGCTCTTCTTAGATTAAATGCAACCAGATAAAAACCCTAAAGGTGTCGTGGCTCTTCTTACATGAAGTGCAACAGCATGTAAACCCTCAACGACATGTAAACCCTAAAGGTGTCGTGGCTCTTATTACATGAAGTGCAACAACATGTAAACCCTAAAGGTGCTGTGGCTCTTCTTACATCAAGTGCAACAAGATGTAAACCCTAAAGGTGTCATGGCAGTCCTTACATCAAGTGCAACAAGATGTAAACCCTAAAGGTGTCATGGCAGTCCTTACATCAAGTGCAACAACATGTAAACCCTAAAGGTGTCGTGGCAGTCCTTACATCAAGTGCAACAACATGTAAACCCTAAAGGTGTCGTGGCAGTCCTTACATCAAGTACAACAAGATATAAACCCTAAAGGTGTCGTGGCAGTCCTTACATCAAGTACAACAAGATATAAACCCTAAAGGTGTCGTGGCAGTCCTTAGATCAAGTGCAACAACATAAAACCCTAAAGGTGCCGTGCCTCTTCTTACATCAAGTGCAACAAGATATAAACCCTAAAGGTGTCGTGGCACTCCTTACATCAAGTACAACAAGATATAAACCCTAAAGGTGTCGTGGCTCTTCTTACATCAAGTGCCATAACATGTAAACCCTAAAGGTGTCGTGGCTCTTCTTACATGAAGTGCAACAACATGTAAACCCTAAATGTGTCGTGGCAGTCGTTACATCAAGTGCAACAACATATAAACCCTCAAGGTGTCGTGGCAGTCCTTACATCAAGTGCAACAAGATATAAGCCCTAAAGGTGCCGTTGCTCTTCTTAGATCAAGTGCAACAAGATATAAACCCTAAAGGTGTCGTGGCTCTTCTTACATCAAGTGCAACAAGACATCAAGTGCAACAAGATAAGAACCTCAAAGGTGTCCTGGCTCTTGTTACATGAATTGCAACAACATGTAAAACCCTAAAGGTGTCGTGGCACTCCTTACATGAAGTGCAACAAGATGTAAACCCTAAAAGTGTCGTGGCTCTTCTTACATCTAGTGCAACAAGATATAAGCCCTAAAGGTGCCGTGGCTCTTCTTACATCAAGTGTAACAAGAGATAAACCCTAAAGGTGTCGTGGCACTCCTGACATCAAGTAGAACAAGATAACCCTAAAGGTGTGGTGGCTCTTCTTAGATTAAATGCAACCAGATATAAACCCTAAAGGTGTCGTGGCTCTTCTTACATGAAGTGCGACAACATGTAAACCGTCAACGACATGTAAACCCTAAAGGTGCTGTGGCTCTTCTTACATCAAGTGCAACAAGATGTAAACCCTAAAGGTGTCGTGGCTCTTATCACATGAAGTGCAACAACATGTAAACCCTAAAGGTGTCGTGGAAGTCCTTACATCAAGTGCAACAACATATAAACCCTAAAGGTGTCGTGGCAGTCCTTACATCAAGTGCAACAACATGTAAACCCTAAAGGTGTCGTGGCACTCCTTACATCAAGTGCAACAACATATAAATCGTAAAGGTCTCGTTGCTCTTCTTACATCAAGTACAACAAGGCTTTTGTTTCATATATTCACCTTCATTTTCTGTGGCAGGCGTGGGACCTTTTGACATCGACCTTCATTTTGCGTGGCAGGTGTGGCACTTTTGTACATCGACCGTCCTTTTACGTGGCAGGTGTGGGACTGTATGACATGGTTGAAACGAGTCAAATTCTCATACGAGGAGTTTTTTTGTGTTGGTCTCGCTTTGGAACGCGTTTTTCTTCCAAAGTCTCGCGCCTGTCAGAAAATCTGATGTGTGTGTGTGTGTCGGGGTTTCCATGAGATGTTTGATTTTGTGTTCTAAAGTGATGCAAAATGGCTGTGTTCTAAAGTGATGCCTCAGAGTGTGTTCCAAAGTGATCCTTTTACCTTTTAATGGGGATTGTGACATGATCTAATACCATTAAGTGCGTGAAGATATGGGAGCCTTTACTTCTCCACAATAAGTACACTTGGAGGATCATCCCACTTAGGAACTGGAGGAACCACAGTTGCAGAATGTTGCAAAACTATTCACAATCTATATATCTATATATCTTATATATATATATATCATATTATATATGTTCTATACAGTCCACATCTGGAAAAGAACCAAGGTCTACTCCAGTGATTTTCTCAACGGCCACTGTTACTGCTGAGGCAAGCTCTGTCCTTGGTGATTGGCGATGCCATCCGGACGGGCGAGCTGGGCGATTCCGGCGATGCCACGAGGTTGGACTGATGGCATGTTGGGTTGGTTTTTTTGGGGTTCCATTAGCCCATTGGTTGTGTGTATATCTATATAGTATAAATAAATATATAGATATAAATATAAATGTAAATATAAATATATATATATATCTGTGTGGGGAGAGAGAGAGAGAGAGAGAAATAAAGTTAGACAGGACATATCCACTTTGGTGTTTTTGATTCTTACATTGATCCTACTGCAGGTCACCCCATGTGGTCGCCACCGAAGCACGAGCACTTCGGGGGCCGAGGTGGGAAGGGTTTCATCGTTTTGATGGGAAAATCATAGGAAAATATGGGAACATGTTTTATAAATGGAGGTGTTACTGCGAAAATCAACTATAAAATAACGATTTTCCGCAAACCATGTCAAATTGCCCGAGAGAGTCAGGTAGTCATAAGGATCATAGCAAAACAAAGAGGTTTCTATGTGCATACACAAGCAAAAATGAACAGAACAAACTAAACTAATCAAGAAACTAAATTAGATCAAATTAAATCTAAAAAAATAACTAAAATTCACCCACTGGCGGTTTTTCCAATCTTATTTCCTTTCCCCAGCTGATCTTCAATTTGGGTAAACAGATATCTTCGTGATGGATTCTGCAATGATTGGAGGATGGAGCATAGCAGCCCCAAGATGCGCACGGTGATCGATTCGGTGCTGGCTGTCTATCTACTGGGCTCTGTTTGGTCCATGATCAGCTTCTTCCAAACGCTGTGGAGATGGGCCCCTGGGTCGCAACTGGGTAGGGATCTACCAAGATTAAACCACTAGAACCATAAATGGGGGATGTTTGTTGTGGATTCTGGATTCATATGATTCATGATCTCTGCAGGGCACAACTTTTTGCAACAATTTGCATCATTTCAATTGTTTTATTCACCTTTTGAAGGAAACACCTGCAGCCTCACAGAAAGTTCTTTACAAGTTGTAGGGAGTTGCCCGCTATGAATTCTTACCGGAAACACATCCAACATTTCAAATGGCTGAAATCTAAGCTGAAAGGTTTGCAATTCAAACTTCCGTCACCTGCTTTCACTCCTTGACAGGGCTGGCATCCCCATAGGAATAGGATCTCGCCTGCGCAGGCGTGGCAATCCTGCAATTGGCGGCCCTTCATCATTCCGCTGACGGCTGGATTTGGATTCATCCCCTTGGGACTTGCAGGTGGGAAGAGGAGCATCCCATTTTTAGACCTGGACATCCAGGTCATAAGATTCGGAAAGGTAACACATCCCAGCTCAAGTTCCTTTTCTAGAAATAGTTATCTCGGTGATTTGAGTTGCACCTCATTTTTCCGCATCACGCCATGGGCCCCATCAATGCCTTAGCTCACCTAGAGGCTTTCTGGTCTTCAGACGGGCGGATGGAACCTGCAGCTGCTTGTCATTGGTAGCCTGAGGATCCATTTGGGTATGGGTTGAACCGATTGATTTCAAAAATACATAGTTTAATTGTACACCAAAATTATTATTACAGAGGGGCTAGCGGTACTTGTGCGCCCCCCGTTTTTGGCATATCCGATTTGAGGGTTTGCTTTGTATGCTGTGGTACAATAATGAAACAGTTCACGTGTCTTTTGTTGCTGACAAAAGCGCATCACATTTTTTCTACCTTCAGAGATCCGTTCAGACTCGGTGTTGCAATTTTTTTCCGCAGAAATTGCCCGAATTCCTCCTGCCATGCAGTTTGTGTGAGGCTATGCCAATTCGCAGAACAACTTCATCATTCCGATCAGCGATTTGGGGTCCTGTCGCTGGGCTGATGCAGCTCGGGGCCTCCAACAGACCCTTTAGGGGAGCACCAAGCCGACCAAGCCAATGGTGTTTGTTCATTGGAAGCCCCTGGCATTTTGGAGGTGTGGCTGCCAAGCCAAGCATGGCCGTAATGCGAGTTGGCCCCCTTTCTGCTTTTGTATTGCCATGCCTCTCTACCACTTCTAAATCCACAACGGGTTGGGATTTCTGAAGATTTCAATTTCGGTGCAAAAACATATGAAAGATCTATGACGATCGCAAAAATGATCCTCTTTTCTTAGCAAAAATGGCTGGGGCACTTGGCTCTATGCTTCTCCCAGGCGGTGGCCGAAGTACCTTGGCCAATGTTCACTGTGGAAATGGGAATGGGCCCATGTCCAGCTGCAAACGCCACTGGCTGTCGCATATTCCAACGAGGTTACAACGTGCCGGAACTGTTGACCGAACTGGTGATCGTAGCTGCTGTAAACACATGCATCTATGCGCAGATGCTCTCCAGGCAGATTGGGATGTGCTGGTGGACTTGCTAATTTAGTTGTAGAAACCTACAAAGCCGCAAAACTTCTGGATGTTAGTTGATCTAGTTAGAACTTTCGCACTTTCAATTTCACACCCTGGATCTTTGGCGATGTTTGGTATCCAGTTTTTGCCAGGTACTTCGGTCGGCAGTTCCGAGGAAAGAGCCTTGACTTTGACTGAGGGAACTTTTCTTTCGCTGGTATGGGGGGTGACATTCGGTGCTGTTATTGGGGGCCAAGTCAGCCGTGACTATCATCATTTATTCTCTTTTATTCCTGTGCTGTAGTCATATAGTCATGTACTGTACTAAGTAGACTAGACTACCGCAGTCTCACTCTGTCATTCTGTTGTCCGGCCATGCTGGAATTGTAGAATAAAATGAAATAATCCTGCCAAATTTCCGGCCAAGAGTAACCAAGAATCATCCTTTGGGTGGATTCTTTGACTACTACTCCCCTACCAGATCCTCGTTGTCCCCTTCAGGTATTGGCCTAGCCTGGCCTGCCATGCTATCCATGTCTTGGGCTGGGTTTCGATGATGGGCTTGGACTCATGGCTGCAGAATTTCTCGGGGATCATGCCATTTATATAACTAAAGTCACGGGCAAATTTGTGGTTTCACAGGCACCCCAGTCATCCTCCCTTTCGGAGATCCACCATCAATCCTGGAAGTCTGGAGCTTCCACAACTCCAAGAGCACCGGGGGTTAGCTGATGGCTTGTGGCTTCCTCCCAAGGTAGGAGTGGCTGTAATCCCTACATACCTGTCGCGGATACCTCATCGCATTGCTGAGACTTGACCGCAGGGCATGGCGTCGGTGGATGCAAATCACTAAACCTGATGGCAGGAATTTGGGCCTCGAACCTGCAGACATCTCACTACAGTGCAAGATCCCCCACATTGGGAAGGCCACACTCTGCCTCCCTGTTGTACCAGATTCAGATCCTCCTGATCCAGCAATGCAAGGCATACCTATTCTTCTTGGCCAGTATTTGGATGCTGTTCTTATACAGCGACTCGTTTGCAGATGGAAGTAGCCTATGGCCCTATGGCGTGCCCTGACATGCTCCTGACAGCATTTCCTCCCAGAACCCATCAATTACACTGCAGCTTCCCGCTGTTCTGCTGCACAGCCTGATGCTAAAAGCCCCGTTGAACAGATTCAGATCGGTGTTGAAAAGATCTTTATAATCACTTGTGGCCATGGCAGGTGTGCTGGTCATTTTCCTGCCCGATGAGAGTCGGCCAAAGTTTGTTTGCCCCGCCATTATGGCAACTGGCATGCACAGAGCAAGTGGGTGGGGCTGTTTCTTGGGATGTCCTCCTCCATCTCCTCCACTCCCCCAGGGCCCCAGTGGGCCCCAGTGGGTGAAGGGAACAATTCCAACTCCTCAAGGCCCAATGGTCACAGCTGTCACCCAGGCAGTGGTTTTGTGGTCGTCCATGACCATCTATGGAGCGCCTCGGGTGAAACTTTGGTCCTGGGATGCTTGGGACATCTTGGGACCAAGATGAACACCAAAGACATGTAAGGCCCATGGCCTATGCAAGGAAATTAGGCTCCAAAGCATGGCCTAAACAGTGGCAGGATATCTCTACTGCAGGTACAAACGTAAACCGGTAATTTGACATTGGATGGATAGATTATAGCTGGATAGTAACCCACAGATAAACAAATAGATGCACACACACACACATACAGATAGATATGTATGTGACATGTATATATGACATGTATATACATGTATAATAATAGTAATAACAACAATGATAATAACTATTATCATAACAACAATAATAAGTATAACAACAATAATAACAATATATATATATATATACACATACATATTTATTTATTTATTTATTTATTTATTCATGTGATATACCCATGTTTTTCTCATCTCTGCTCTCCCTCTCTCGCTCTGTGTGCGACGTGGTACGGCCAGCCACTAGAATCTTGGAATCTTAGCCTGCGGCCCTGCGGGGCAGGTGCTGTTTACCTTCAACTTCTGCGATAGACTCTGTGGCGGCGGCAGCTTTAACGAGGAACCGCACTCCGAAGCGTTCCGGGGCCCAGTAATTTTGGGGTATTTTTTAGTTGGAGGATTTTGAGGGATGGCAGGGATAAGATATATGAATGGGAGAAACATTGGAATATTTGGAATTGGGAAGTTCTTGTCCAGGATTATTCATGAATGATCTTGCCAGCAGGGAAAAGAGAGAATGACCTCAGTTGCCAAAGACCTTGTTGGCTGGTTTGTTGAGGCTGGTCAGGATGGTTTTGTGCAAACTAGCCAGGAGAGTGGGCTGAAGCTCCCATCGCACAAGGGGCCCCACGGGACAAACGCTGACTGCTGACCGAGGATGCAGCTGGGCGTGATGGCTGAGTACAACAAGTATCGCAGCTTGGGTGGAATTTGTGGCGTGCAACAGGGGGGATAGGCAGCTAAAAAGGCGCAGATTCTACCATGATCAGGGTACTTTTTCTTGATTGGCAGTTTTCCTTAATTGAGAAACATGTATCACAAGCTCTTTTTGTACAGCACGGCGAGTGATGCAAGCGCCACAGTTTCAGGCTGGTGCTTATCCATTGAGAGCGTGGTCGAATGGCTGCTAGTGGCTTTGCCCCATGGCAGCAGGTATCATTTGCAGTCCCGGTGAAAAGGGGTTGCAACATCTAAGGTCTTTAAGGGTGCGCCGCCCAAAGTGTGCAGGGTAAGATACCCTATTTAGTGATCGTTTGGCGACTGAAGGGATTCTCCCACTAGTGTCAAAAAGCCAGGGAATACATGGTGAGCAAAGATGCAGTCAGTTAATTGCATTAAATCCCATAAAAATTCATTAAATCCCATTAAATCAACAGTTAATCCAACTTAATATCTGATCAACATCACTTAATATGAACTGAACACGCGCAACTTTGTTCCTGCTCTCCTTTTCAGGTACGCCTTTTGGATTCTCCTCGCTCCAGCTCCTTGGAAACAAAGTGGTGATTTTGTAACTCCCTGCATATCTTCTAGTTGACAATCCAAACCCATGGCTCCCTATTCAAGAAGATCAAGTCTCCAGGGCCGTTGGTGTGCCCGAAGCCCAGCTCACATTGGGAGCTTCAGTTTTTTCTCGCCGCCACGCAGCAGAAGGTAAGTTTGTAGCCTGTCATGCCAAGGTCGTCACTCCTTCATCATGACTCACCCGAAACACGCACAGCATGGGTAACATTGTAACACTCAAGCAAGAGATGTAAGATAATGGCAAATCAGGACCATGCACCTATCAGAGTGCTCACCAATTCATCCAAAAAACGACTTCCGAGACAGAGGATGGAGATGGTTTTAGGAATATCGAGGAATCGAGGAATCGCATGGCTTCAGTTCTTGTGACTTTTTCCCCTTTCTGGGTGGTTTCCCCTTACATTCCCCCGGCTCGGCGACATTTTTCGTGGGTCGCGATGGTGCGCGATGCTCGACGTCGAGGGTCCGATGAGACCGCACCGGGCGAAGGGATCGAAGCAGGTGGAAAAACTGCTGGCAATGGTAAATCCACATGTTTTTTTTTTTTTTGTGGGGGGGGTGGGAAATCAATGTATAACATATAATTGTAACATATAGTAAATTCACTTATAGTGATTTTTTTATTTAGTGGGCAATTTATCACCATGGATGTCTAGAACTAGACATTTCAGATCACTGATATGAAGCGACCTGCCCGCAGAGGGCCGTGGTTCGTATGTGGCGAAGTGACTCGGGTGTTTTCCTAAACGTATGGCCTGATTTGAAAGCGAAAGTCCAAAGTCTACCTTGTAAAATCGGAATGATTTTCCAATGGTTTTCCAATGATGTTCCAATGATGTTCCAATGGTTTTCCAATGGTTTTCCAATGATTTTCCAATGATTTTCAGATCCGTTTTCTCCAAGTAGTCATAGTGCGCAGATGCATCGGTGCCAGGTTCTCGAGTGGTGGTGCTGCAGGGTCGCAACTTCCCCTCCTTCGGTGCTGGGGACCAGGGTCGTGTCATTCGTGTGGACAAAGAAGCGCTGAATTGCGAGGTGGGGGCGGTCACAGATTGCCCTGGAAACATGAGTGAAGGGGGTGAGCAGATTGCATTCTGGAAAAGATATAGAAAAATGAACGCCAAACTGATGCACCTAAAGACGTGAATATGAATATGATCCCGTTTTCATGGTAATTCCTGAAGCTGGCTTATGGATATAACATGCTACAACTCCTGTAGTTGTGGCAATTTACACCCAGTTATCAAATGGAACTGCAGCCTGATGATTCAAAGGTCCTATTCGATGGTGGCAGCCATCCCTTGCCTGTTGCCTTGCGACATCTCCGGCTGGGCAGCGCTGGCGGCTACAATGGCCGCGCCGAGCAACAGACAGTGGAACCTTCGCGCAGGACGGATGGGGGCCAAGCTTCCCTAAATACCTGTCCAAAATTGGTTTGGCATGTTCATGTTTTATCCTTCCAGGTGATTTTTGAAGGCATTTTCCCGTCTGCCGTTCCTTTTTTACGCCAAGAAAGTCCAAGAAGAACCTGACTCAGTTTCAGTTGTCTTACCTGCAGTTCCGCTTCCAGAAACTTTCGCAGAATTGTTTTTGACGGACACATCACTTAGGACACCCCCATGTTTGCTCAGGTATTTCTGCCAACTCGATTTCGGGTCTGAAAAAGGGTTTCAACGGGGGTGTCCTGAAAATTGGACAAAACACAAAAACTTACCGACTTAACCTCATTCCAATGGCTGGAAACCCAAAATTTCCCGGCAAACAGCATTTTTGATGGTTAAAACCCATTAAAACCCCCCATGAATTTGGGGATCAAGTCCCCCCAGGATGGGATTACTTTGAGCCGCAGGAAGAGCAGCCTCTCGGACGGCAGCCGTTCGCGTTCCGCCTCGCCCAGGCGCACGGTGACCATCGAACCTGTGGCGCTGGATACTGAGCAACGGCTGCGTGCCTGCGAGGCGGGATGGAGGTTACAGATACACCAAGGGGAGGTTGGAAATGTTGGAAATGAAAAGATATCAAGATGTTCCCTCCCCAAAAAATCATCAAATGAATGTTTGACTACCCTCTGGTAAACTAACATAGCTATGGAAAATCACCATTTTTAGTAGGGGAAATCAACTATAAATGGCCATTTCCAATAGCTATGTTAAATTACCGGAGGGTATTAATGTTAAACCATATATATGGTGGTTAATGGTGGTTAATGGTGGTTATCTATTGATTATTTGGGTCCTAAACATTGCAGATTGGGCCCCATCCCCAGGTGGCGCTGGACAGCAGCGCGCAGATCACGCCGCGCAAGACGCCGCAGCGGCGCGCGCTGGCGGAGGATGACAGAAGTTCCCAGCCCTTGGAGGAACGGCTGGTCCTCATTGAGCAGCGGATCAAGAACGAGGTGCTGAAGAAATCTGAAGAATGGGGTCATGCCAGATGTATTTCTAGGAATATGTGTATTTTTGTTTAGATAGATAGATAGATTAGATTAGATTAGATTAGATTAGATTAGATTAGATAGATAGTATAGATAGATAGTATAGTATAGATAGTATAGTATAGATAGTATAGTATCGTATCGTATAGTATAGCATAGTATAGCATAGTATAGGATAGTATAGTATAGATAGATACCAAGACAAGAACGTGGCTGGTGGTGGTTTGAAGGTCCCAACTGCTCTCCACATGGCTCAGATGCTATGTGCTCAAAGGGGATCTTGGGTTTGTGTGTTGCAGTGTCGATGTGGTCAAAGTTAAGTTTGTAGCGATTTTGGTTCGTAAGTGCTGCTTGAATTAGCACCAGGAGGGTTGCAATTTATATCAAACTATTTGTGGATTCATCGCCCCTTCCAGGTGGAAGTTTTAGCGAAGCAATTGAGGGAAGCGATCAGCTTTGGTCAAGCGCAGGAGGGGAGATCCACTGCCTTACTATATAGGTCTGATGGGAGTTTTCTTTTGATTCTGCTTGAAAATCCATTTGGCATCGTATTGCTCATATGAATCAAAATGATCTACATCAATCATATCCGAATTCTGTACCAATCATATTGATCTACATCAATCATATCATCGTTATATCAATCGTATTGATATACAGATATACGTCAACCACATCTTCGAGCTTTAGTGTATCAAACATATGGATGTATCTACTGAACTGTTTCTGTTCCCATTTTCACCCTTTCTTATTCTGGGGGCAGTGTCTTCTAGGAGTCCAGGGCCAACGCCCTGCAGCGGCATCTGCAAAGCTGTGGAATTCCCATGCCTGGGAGTGGAACCATTCCGGCCGCACCTTCATCCATGGGTTCAGGCGAGTGGAACCAGCTGGGATTGGCTTTAAATGAGGGATATCTATGGGTTGATTTTTGTGTGATGTGGTATATCCAGTAACAAACCACCCCCAATGTTACCATAGATGGGTGTATTATAGACCATCCCCGAATGGTAGGTTTATCGCATTGGGTTTACCCCATTACACACATCTTGCGATCATAGCATTTGATTTTGTCATCCTTCTGGATGGATCAGAAAGGATGCGACCTGCACTGGCAGCCGGTTTTCTGAGGGGCTGCCCTGTAGCTTCTCATTTCCTTTGTCGTCTAGGATCTAGCTTTGGAAAATATTGGGGAATTTGCCAGCCGCACCAGGCCCTGTGTACCTCTCTGCCGCCCTGCCCCCGCGCCTCTGTGCCACCCCGAACCGCGACCGTGGCGACCGCGGCGACCGCGGCGACCGTGGCGACCACGCTGTGACGGGCGGCACTGCGGTGAGTCCGACGGCCGCGACGGGGCCGTGCATCGAGGAGCTCTGTGGGAGCTGTGGAACGGCAAACGCTCCAGGGTCCAAGTTCTGCATCAAATGTGCCTTGGAAAAGCCAAAAGTGGGGTTGGATGAAGATTGTGCGACTAATTTCTGGAGAAGCTGTCGCATTCAGGCTCAAAAAGTGTGACCGTTGCTGTTGCCAGCCCAGGAAAGGGTGCGAGAGAAGGATATTTCCCTACGTTTTCCTTCAAAATTTCCCCGAAACCATCCCCTACCCATGGCTCTCCAAGGTGGCCACAACCAGGATGTCAACGAGCGGCCGGACTGGCGACGTCCACTGTCGGCCTCTGCCTCCACCACAGCCAGTCAGAGCTCCTACATCAGAGGCCTGGACTCCGGCGGAGGGTGGCCGAGGTTGGGGATGGATGCAATGCAAGGCATGACTATAATATCTGTACAGGTATGTAGATGACATGAATGATTCACATTACCACCAACAAGATGGGACAGAATGACGCAACTAAGAGGAATAGCAGCAACAGACCACTGGACATGCTTTTATCTTTTGGATAGAACCAACAACTAGAGACCAATACCGATACCTCTCAAGGGTGAACGGCGTTAACACAGCAGCTTTGGGTATGTCAGCCCAAAATGGAGACATCAGCCAGTTTGCTGTGGCCAAAACAGTGTGGGGTATTTTCCAACTGGGGGAAGTTGGAAGTGCGAAGCCGGTGAAAATCTAGACGAGGACAGGTCCGACAGTCTTGGTTTAGGAATTCAGGTGAGGTACATCCAGTCTTCACCACACCATTGCTTCCAGGTTGATCCTCATCAATTAAACATGAAAACGTGACATGTCAGAGCATGGTAGAGCCAACATCCAGTTGCACCAGCCCTTGACCCACAAGCTGCTGCACCTTGAGGTTCCTCCTACTTGGCGTCCGGCCCTGCAGGTCCCGGGCAATCCGGCTCCGCCCAGTTGCTCCAACCCACCGCTCCGCCAGCCGCACCCCACATGCTGATGCTGCCGCACGGGCACACAGTGCACCCCGGGCACATGCACCCAGCGATGTGCCAGACACCTCTGCCGCCCGGCACTCCGAGCCAATCTATGGAGGAGCCTTGTGGGGTGCCGGCTGCATGCCTCACACCGCCACAGGTGTTGACTCCCAGGCTGGTGCTTCCGCATCGACCTTTTGGATGAAGGTGTGGATTGATTACTGCGGCGCCTGCAGTCGCACAAATTCAAGCTGGCTCTGGGTCAACCGTCTACAGGTTCTATAGTTTGCATCTTTACACAGGTTCTGCTTCTTTGACGTTAGTGCACAGTTTTCCCAACCGTGTTTTCTGCGGCTTGACCCACGGGAATTTGTTACAATTGGTACAATATCTTGCGGCACGGCGAGATAGCTCCGCTTGCCGTGCCGATGCCTGCGCCGTTGAATGCACCTAACGAACCGGACGCATCCAGATGTGAAGGAACAAAATCGAATGGGAAAGGTTTTTGCTGCAGGGTGG